CTATGGAGAGTAAATTGAGCTCCTCTCGCCTCTGACAGCCCTTCAAGTATTGGAAAATGCTATCAAGTCTCCCCTAAGCCATAAGCTAGAAATAACTAGTTCCCTTAGCCATTAATCATATGATTTAGCCTCCAGACCCACGATCATCTTTGTTGTTCTTCTCTACACTCTTTCTAAGCCCTCAGCATCTCTTTTTTGTCTCATGGTGACCAGAACTAGATGAAGTCTTCCGACTGTAACATTATTGCGGTATATGCTGACTCTGTAAACTGCTTAGAGAGGAGCTGTAAAACACTGTGAAGCAATAGATAAGTCTAAGGGCTATTGCTACTCTACAGATCTTACTAAATGTCTCTGCTTGGCCAAACCAAAGCCATTGCTGTCAAAACTTCTGTTTCCAAACAATAACTTTGCAAGCCCCCAGCCAGGGCACGCAAACTCAAGACAACCTTTTGGATCCCCTCCAATATCTTGGTAAGGTTGTTCAACCACCGATGGTCTTAGTTTCCAAGACTGCCAACCTCTCATTAGAAGGCAGAAAGTCCCAATTACAGACATATGTTCTTTCAAAAGCCTGCCTAGAAGTAAATCTTTTCATCCTCTTTGATTCTTAAACCGAGCGGGAAAGGATCAGCCACAGCTTTACCTGTGCTTTTGCAGGATAAATACATTCTACTTATTCTACTTATTCCCACTTTGGTTAAGTTGGAAGAAAATGCTAACCACAATGCTGAGTTCTAAATTATTCAGAATTCTTTCCCCAAGATTTTTGGTAACTCTTTCCTCCTAATGTTTGCAACAAGTCTTTGCTTATTCTGTCATGTTATTTATTTACTATTTTATTTATTCATAAACATTTCTATCCTGTTCTGTTCCCAACGGTTCAGAATAGCATATGCCGAAGAAGAAAAAAGAACAGAAGATTAAAAATAACAATGCTAACAGGATGCATTAGAATAACATTGACCACAAGAACATCTGCTTTTGGGTTTTTTAAAAAAATGAGATAACATAATATCTACAACCTTGCAATCAAAGCCACACTCCTTTTTACATGTGCTACCTGTGTAAAAAGTGTGTGGCTTCAGTAGTATGATCATAGTCATGGATTTGAACTTTTTAATCCTTTGCTGATGTTGGGTTATTGACAATGCATACAGAGCGCCTGATAGTTTGGGAGATGCAACAGATGTTCCACAATCTCCTTCCAGTTTGACTCATTTGCATTTCTACTACCAACAGAGTAGCAATTGCTCTGTCCTTGTCCTGTTGTTATCTTTAAGGTGAGAATTGCTCATAAAGTCTAGCTTTGGTTTAAAACAAAAGACCACACTGGAAGTTTTCTGATGCTGAGATGAAGTTTTAGAAGTACTAGAAATTGGCATAGAATAGAGTAGAGAAGAATAGAATAGAATAGAATAGAATAGAATAGAATAGAATGGAATGGAATGGAATGGGATGGGATGGGATGGGATGGGATGGGATGGGATGGGGTGGGGTGGGATGGGACAGAATAGAATAACAAAGTTGGAAGGGACCTTGGAGGTCTTCTAGTCCAACCCCCTGCTCAGGCAGGAAACCTTATACCACTTCAGACAAATGGTTTTCCAATCTCTTCTTAAAAACTTCCAGTGATGGAGCACCCACAACTTCTGGAGAGAAGCCGTTCCACTGATTAACTTTTCTAACTGTCAGGAAATTTCTTCTTAGTTCTAGATTGTTTCTCTCCTTGATTAGTTTCCATCCATTGCTCCAGTTGCTAGTCAACATTGAAACAGCTGTTTTTCTCCATGTAGAATGAAGGAGGCATCTTTCTGTTGGCTTGTTGGCAGGCACTAACAGAAATTCTGAACAGCTGTTGACTGTCAAATGTTTATGATCTGTGCATTTAAACTTTGATGGATGAATTAGTCTATTCATTGTGATTGGAGATGTTAGTATGCTAGTTAGTATCTCCCACAAATGAAGCTCAGCTCATAGTGGTTTCATGGACCATCCATATAGCTGTCATAACAGCTGTAGAGGGCAGCAGGTAAAGCTTGAAGGAACATGAGACAAGGTTATCTTACCAATAAAAGAGAATGTTTGTAGCACAAGGTTGAACTGTGGGATCCTTGATACTCTCTGAGCTTGTTTGTTTGTAGACATTTCATTACCCAGCTTGGTAACATCACCAGTGCTAGGTGGTTAGGTTATCTTCCTCCAGTTACAGTGGCTTCCCATAGGCAGCTCAGTTCTTTAGGAGGAAAGACTACAGATCATAAACTTGTCAAAGACTGTCCCCCTCCTGCCAAATTCACTCCTCCCAATGTTAAGATGTTCTAGGCCTCTTGTATGACAGCCTTCTGCAATATTGACATCTTGTCAGCATAGATCTTTTTAAAGAACTCCTTTGTTTTTTTATTCTCTTTGCCTTGCAAAATACTACTTTGTTGTTTTAAATTGCTTAGATGTTGTTGGTGATGAGAAATGCTATACAAACGCTTCCATCAGATAAATAGGGAAATAATAATAATAATAATAATTGTATCTCCTGCAGTTTAGACATTTGATCTGCCATTTCTTACTGACTGAACCATTTCTTCAAAGAGCAAAGCTCTTCATACATTTGCAGTAGGTCTAGGGTTAAGTGCTTAGTGTAATTTCAGAAACACAAAATTACATCCAATTGTTATCTGGCTATCCAATCTTTTGTTTCACGGCCTGCCCATCTCTTCATATGCCAGCTCTCTTGACAGTTAAACTTGGAGCAGAGATGCAATTAGATTGCTAAGGAGATGTGAAAAGCCGCACAATTTATTATTTCAAGAGAAAATTAAGAGTTGTCTCGGTAAGAGGAAGATTTCAAAGGAAGGTTGATCGTGCATCTGTCTATTATTTATGCAATATTTTGAAAGGCCAGTTGAAGAAGTGAATGTGGTCCTAGAGAGTCTGGAAGACTTCTTTTGCCAGGATGAGGAAAGGGACACCAAGACATTCCTTGTAATGCAGCTTCATCTGGTGGGGACCCCCCCCCCCGAGTCCTGGCACTGGTTCAGTCTGGAAAACCAGAGAGAGATTCGGGTCCAAAAGTGATCCAATTTCATAGCTTCCTTTCTGGGAAGATCTAATCCCATTTGGAGCAAAATGAACAGAGATAGACTTTCCAATCTGATCAATCTGCCTGGAATTTCTCTTTGGCATGGCAGGTATTTCTTACTTATCTGCCCAAAGTCACTCCAGAAGCTTCCATGACTTGCAGGGGTGGGTGGGTGGGTGGGGTAGAAACAGGGTCTTCTCATCCAACAGATTGACCACTGCAGCACACGCCTCTCAAAAACTCTTCTGTGTTTTAACTCAACAGCTTTTTTCATACTATGTAAAGATCTTAATTGCTATGGGTATTTTCATTCTTTTAATCACTTTTTTATTTACTAGCCCTATCCTGAAGTATGTTTTGTTTTAAAAATCACTGTATCAAACTGAGTTGATTGTTAGAGCTTCTCAAATTAACGTCTGTCTAAAGACTAACAGATTTCTCATGGCAGCTGATTAACTGGACTGGGGTTCAGAGAAGTAGACAGTTTGTGGGGCTGTCATCCTACCCCTTTCTCAAAAGCAGCCCCCAACCCATCAACTGGAGCTGTAGAATTGCAAACAACAACACGTACTTCCCCCCCCCCCAGTTACGTCTTATAATTATGTGGAGGCGTTGAGTGTCATAGCCTCAACCTTTGGAAAACAATTTTGTTTAATGACTAGTGCTTAATTAATGCTTGAACTCATCAAAAGCTAACTAGATCAAGACAGCATCGAACTTGGGTGGCAATATTTGTTGGCCATTATGTCAGCCTCTTAAACTCCTGGGAAGGGGAGACTTTTCCGAAGAGAAAGAAAACTTTTTTTAAAAAAGTTTCAATACTTCTTCCTTTCTGACAAGACATACCAACCGGATTGGAGCATTTATTCATTGAACACAAAAGTATTCCATAAATACTGGTTGCGTGCATACAACAATGTAAACTTGCAAAGACGCATCACAGATTTAACAGATTTTCTTGCTCATACCAACAGTAGGAGTAGGAGTACTAATAGCAGTAATAATAGTAGTTGTGTGTGTGTGTGTGTGTGAAAGCGAGAGAGAGTGATATTGATTGATTCTGTGTCTCCTTCACTGCTCTAAACACTCAAAGAAAAGTCCTTTGGAACTGAAATTAATGAGACTTACTCTCAGCTACTCACTAGTGATAAATTAGTGCAATGCATTAAAACCACAGTTCACACACTTAACAAGATTGGATAAAGGCTTAGTGACTGCTTTCACATAGCACACTAAGCTAGATTAGTTGCTTTTATTAGGTCATGTCAACTTAGCCTGTCCAGTTGTGTTGATGGTTTAGTGGCTTGTACAAATCCAGAAAATGGATTCAGTAACTAGCTTCAGTGCTACATGAATGCAACAAATGTATAATAAATGTAATAACAATAATGTATTATTATGGGTGGTCATGCAGTCAGCCAGATGTTCAGTGGATTTGGCATTTTTATCCACCTACTGAGTCCTTCCCAAGGACCTGGGATGATAGGCAGATGTTGTTATTTGAGGGCATCAGAGGTATCATCACAGGATATCAGCTGTTCCAAGTCAAGCTGCCTTTTGCAATTGACCAACAGGGATATTGTCAATGCCGCTGATATTCAAGGGGTGCTCCAGATGTTTTGGGATTATTATTTTGGTTCCTCGCACACTCAGACAGATGTTCAGACTAGATTTGGCATTTTTATCCATCTATTTTATCCACCTACTGAGTCCTTCACAAGGACTTGGGATAGGCAGATGTGGATATTGGAAAGTATTACAGATATTGTTGCAGGACGTAAGCTGTTCCAAGTAGTAATGCACAATAATCACACTTTGGTGGAGGCTGCCTTGGTCTTGAATAGAAACCTGTCCAGTTCCCAAACACACCTTGATTTATTCCTTTATCTCAAGCAGGTGTCCAAACCAAGAGTGCTTCTTCTCTATGGATTTCCCAAATATCTTCTGGTACAATGACAGCTATGAAAACAGGACCTTCAACAGCTCCAGCCTGGAGCAGAAGCCCACCCACTATAACTACTACGCCATGCTGTTGACTCTCCTCATATTTGTGATTGTCTTTGGCAACGTGCTAGTCTGCATGGCTGTGTCCAAGGAGAAAGCCTTGCAGACCACCACCAATTACCTGATCGTCAGCCTTGCTGTGGCTGACCTGCTCGTGGCTACGTTAGTGATGCCGTGGGTGGTCTACCTGGAGGTAAGAAGGCCACAATTGCAACCTCAGGTCTTCTGGAGGCCTGACAGATGTCCATTGTAGGCATTCCATGAAGGTTCCTTTGGAAGCAGGAAATTACGTAGACAAAATGTGGGCAATCAGGAGAAATATAAGGGTGATGTAAAATGTCTCTTGAAGGCTGTTAGTTAAATGTCAGGTCTGCATTCATGGAAGTTCTCCTTGGGAGAGAAAGACTACTTCCCAGAGGTCAGGTTTCCCTCAACCTGAGCAGAGAATTCAGGAAAACAACAGGACCTTTCTAGACAGAAATACATGATCTAATGTTTTTGCACTTTCCAATCTAGCAAACAGTCTGGGATTTCCCTGGGACAGTAATCAGCCTTTGGAATGCTAGCCCTATTTAGCTTTCAGGTTTCCTGATCCCTCCACCTGCTGAGACTAATAAAGCATCCATACCCCAAGCCCACTCACAACTATTCCTCAGAGGGCTGTGCATTTTCAACAGTCGTTGTTCCTTGTCAGGGAAAATGCATGCTGGGATTTGCTTGGTTGCATTCATGAAGCATAGTGAACATGGATGGGGTTGCGTGATTAGGAATGCATCTGTTGGATACACTCAGGGAGAGAAAACAACAAGTTCATACCATAAGCAATTCATATTCTCCCTTTCTGCATTTCAAAAGACTGGGTTTACAAGCCACATTTGCAAATTGGTTTTTATGAAAGCCTGAAGCTCTAAACAGGAGTGGGACAGCTTCCTTTTGGATGCCTTCTCTCAAGGACTCTGCTGGTGAGGGAGGATGACCTCTCAGGGATGGCCATGCTGATAAAGTCAGAGGCACCCCATGAACCAAAACAGCCCAGACTTTTCTCTGGAGATGTGGGCAGAAGGCAGGTCAGTGGGAGTGTGCTTTGGGGGGCTGAGGAGGTCCTGGTCCCTCAGCACGTTCATTTTCAGTGGCCATTAGTGCTGCAGAGCAGAAGTTCTTTCATCCATCCAGTGCTGATAAAATATTTGCCTGACGCTGCTGGCACATTGCAGCCAAAGTCAGAATAAAAGATTCAACAAAAGAGAATTAATCCCAATTTTGCCATGGGCATGGACATGCACACAGAGGCACATAGGAACACACATGCACACACACACACAGGTGGTCCACACTCATCCTCTCTGAACCTCAGCCTGATGGTGCTCTTTGTTCATTTCTCCCATCTTTCCAGGTGGTCGGTGAGTGGCGCTTCAGCCGCATCCACTGTGACATCTTTGTCACCCTGGATGTGATGATGTGCACAGCCAGCATTCTTAATCTCTGCGCGATCAGCATTGACAGGTAATACATGCTCTCTGGGTCTGCCTGGCCAGGCTTCCCGCTTCCCCCACCCTTCTTCTCCCCACATTCTTGCCAACTCTAGACTCACATCTCGGAGAAAATGTCTTCTCTCTTCCTTGCTTTCAAGAGCTGGGATGTGCTCCACATGGTCCCCCCCAATTGTTGTGTCCTTTCCCACAGGTACACAGCTGTGGCCATGCCCATGCTGTACAACACCCGCTACAGCTCCAAGCGCAGAGTCACTGGGATGATTGCCGTGGTGTGGATCCTCTCCTTCGCCATCTCCTGCCCACTGATGTTTGGGCTGAACAACACAGGTATACAGCCAGGCAAGATACCCTCTCGGGGTTGAATTAAAGTTCCCTTTAGGGGTTCTGGTCTCTGTCCTGAATAATGCACACTTTTCTCACTCTGATCTGAGAAAACAGTTGTGCAGAGAGAAAATCCCCAGACATGCAGAGCAGAGCCAGGAAAAATCAAGACTCCATGCAAGGGTGGTCAATAGTTCTTCTGAGTCTTTAGGTCACACCGAGCTGTAACTGCAAACTCCCTGCCAGGCCCCTTGTTCCACTTCTTGCTCTAAGCCTTTCAAGTTGAAAACACAGCTTGATCCAGTCTAAAATATTCTTATTCTAGGTTTACCTTTGGTTGATATCAGTGTAAATGATGGGGTGGGGGTGGGGAAGGGACACTTTCCCTTGTCCATCCATGAAAGTGTTGGGAAATTGCCAGCCAGGCTGGAAGGAGGAGTCAAACAAGGATCTAGTTCGAAGTCCTTGCGTAGCTGCAAGTGGCATAGTCTTGATCTTCCCCCAAATCCAGGAAGCCTTATCTGGATGTTCCCAGGGGAAAGCAAAACCAGTCTGGTGGGATTCTTGTAATATAGATGGTAGACAATAAAGTTGCTGACTTTAATTTTGTTATTCATGAATGGTTCTGGTTCCTGGCATCTGACAGAAGGTGATGGGCTATAAGGCTCAAAACCTGGAGTATCTTACTACCCATTAAAAAGCCATATTTGTGAGTAGGGGAAGTCTAGCTGCTCCTCAGTTCTTTCCCTCAAATGGAAAATCTCATCCTTAGAAGGTCTGTTCCTCAGAACAAAGGGTGAAATGGGATTCCATCTCAAAAGGAACCCCTGTTGCCCTTCTTGCACCCACAGCTCTCTGGACACCCAAGCTGACTGTAGGTCCTAATGGCTGGGGCAACATTCCTGCCCTCTCTTGTGTCTTCCAGAGAAGAATGAGTGTATCATTGCCAACCCTGCCTTTGTTGTGTATTCTTCTATCGTCTCCTTCTACGTTCCTTTCATTGTCACCCTGCTGGTGTACGTGCAGATCTATATAGTGTTGCGGAAACGCAGAAAACGGGTCAACACCAAGCGCATCGCCAGTCACGTGGGCCTGGACGCCGACACGCAGGCCCCATTGAAGGTAACCCCAGCTGTCTCTTCCTGATTTTCATCTTCTCTGCCCCACTCCCCCGGTTATGGTTTCCACCCTGAGATTTACTCCTCCCCAATCAATGATGTTTTGTGCGAAGGTGGCCACAAGGAGATGTTTTCCAGGGCACAACAACAGGCAGCAGCCATGCATGTAAATATTGGCTTCAGAATTAAATGGGGCACTTTGCCAGACTGATTAGTCTTCTTATCTCTAGCCTTGTTTCTCCCTTGTGGGGGAGATGGAACTCTTCCCTGTTCCAGATTTTTGTCCTTGGCTATACTCTGGATAGTTGCTGTCTTATGCCAACCATCCCTCTCTTCTTTCTTCTTCTCTCTTTCTCTTCAACTCTTCTTCTTCAGGAGAAATGCACTCATCCAGGAGATATCAGGCTCTGCACACTCCTTGTGAAGAGCAACGGGAGCTTCCCTGTTCACAAGGGCAAAGTGGTGAGTGTCTATGCCAAGCATCCCAAGTCTACACAGGTGCTGCCTTTGAGGCACCCTTGGCTTCGAACGTTGTATGAGAGTCTTGAAGCATTAACCACAAAACAGGAGTTGGTGGCATATCCATTTGTATACAAAACTGTAACAAGCACTTCATAGCCTTCAACTTATATGAGGGCCTTGTGCCCTATCCTGGATATTGCCATCAACCCTGTGACAAACCTCAGTTCCTTCCCACAAACAATCCTTCGTGATTTTCCTCAAGTTCCCCAAAATCCATCTGCCTTTCAGGAGCCCAATACAGAAAAGAAGATGGTTAATATTTCTCCCTGCTGTGTCCTTTGATGGCTTTCTTTCATTCAGAGAGAGACCGCATAGAAAGACCCCATGGAGCTTACCCCAAAGTGTTGCCTTCAATCTCCTTTTCTGCCTGAGCACAGAGGAAACTGACTTCTCTCAAGTATTTTTTTATTTGGATCCCCCAAAACACAGGGAGGAAAAACCAGAGACATTGGTTCCAATTTGCTCAAAAGTTTTCCAATTCTGCTACTAATATTTTAATTCCAGAAGTCACAGACCCTCACTGCTGTCATTGAGGATGGAACTTCAAACAGGGCTTGACCCTGCTTTATTTATTTGAACAGGAGTCATCCTTGTGACTAGCATGCTCTCAAGGGGCCCACTGAGATGGCACTGTTTTGCTGCTACATCTCCACTCTTGTTCTTTTCTACTAGTCATGTTCCACTTTGCATCTTGGAAAAAGAAATTTGCAGTTCATTGGCTTACTTGAAGGAAATTTTCTCTTTCCCCACTGTACATTTTTTTCTTTTCTTTGTCTCAGTATTTGTTTGATTATACAGCCTGATGTATCTGATCATTATGCAGGAGGCCATGGATCACATGGAAGAGATGGAGATGGCCACTAGTACCAGCCCACCAAAGAACAATGTCCAGCCACCTCTGCCAAGTAACATGGAACCAGCTGAGGCAGCTGCTTCCACCCCCTGTGCCAATTTAACTCCGCCGTCTCCTGAAAACAGCCGCCTCGACGTGCAGAAGAACGGGCATACCATAGACAATTCCAAAACAGCCAAGGTCTTTGAGATTCAGACAATGCCCAATGGCAAGACCAGGACTTCCCTCAAAACTATGAGCAGAAGGAAATTTTCACAACAGAAGGAAAAGAAAGCCACTCAAATGCTTGCCATTGTGCTTGGTAAGAGTTTGGTCCAACCTCCATTGTGGAAGCTACAGGTTCAGCATTTCACTGGATTTATAGACTGGCAAAATAGATATCTGGGAGAGGGAGGAGGAACTCATAATAACACAAACAAAGAACTTCATGGCTAGTTGTTATGTGTGATATTTGTTCAACAAATGTGCCAATTTCCAATCCCAAAGCATTTGGCTATTGTTGCCTCTTGTGGCTGTGACGTTTCCAAGTTGGAGGTAGGCAGGGAGATGCATTCAACGGCTGTGTCAGGCTTGCCCCACCTTGGACACTTAGGAAAGAAAGACCCTCGACTCCATTTGTAGTGAAAGGTATACTTTTACTAAAGCGGTTACAGCGTAAGAAAAGATGGGTCTGACTATTCCCGCATAAATCCTACTTTTCCCCCTTCTCCTGGATTGTCCCCCCTTGACCAGTTCATAAGTGTCCAATTATATTCAAAGTAGGTGTTTTGGTAATAGTCTTAAGGTTTGGTGCCTCTTTGGTTGACTTTTGCATTCCATTCTCACATTCATGTCCTTGGATCTGCCAGTCTGTTCCAGATTGGCACCTCTGGTTCCTGTCACCCTGCCAACCCCCCTCCCCGCATTTATGGCAGGTTGCCAGCAAAGCAAAGCCAGCTCAAGCGATTACGATGGCACACCTGACAGGTTGCACTGCTAACATGGCTCCTTTTCTTGGCCCTCTTGCAGGTGTTTTCATCATCTGTTGGCTCCCTTTCTTCATCACCCACATTCTGAACATGCACTGCAACTGTAAAATCCCACAGGTCATGTACAGTGCCTTCACATGGCTCGGATATGTCAACAGCGCAGTCAATCCCATCATTTACACCACTTTCAACATTGAGTTCCGGAAAGCTTTTATGAAGATCCTTCATTGCTAACCTCTGCCTGGGGATCAGTCATCTGAATCACGTGACCGGATTAAGGCTGTGTGTTGGAGCACCCAGTTTGAGAGTGCCATGCCAATATATTTTTACAACTGGGATACCACAGCTGTCATGGTCCAAGGTTGCCTTGTGCTCAAGGAAGCATTAAAACTCTGTGTGACTCGGATAGGAGAGTTTGTGTCAAATGCAATCTTTGCATTCTGCTAAAACGAGAAAGCAAGCAAGCCAAGTCTCCCCACAAACAGCTGTGTGGGATCAAGAAGATCTCCAAGAGAGTCATCACCAATTTTAGCTGAGCCCAAGAAGGAGAGACCATGACTTGCTCACGCCTTGCTCTTATTTCTCACCAAAGACGTACCCATTCTTGCCCGCTTCGCAACTGGAGGAAGACTCCTTCGAGGAAGAAACAGTTTTCCCAGGAATTGTGTTCGTTGGCGTTGCCTTCAGACTTCAGGGACACTGTAGTGTCCATCAAATTGCCGAGGCCAAATCATGCAGCTACTGTTAAGGCTTGGAGTAGTTGCCAGACCATTGTCACCAGACAAAAGGAAGGGGGAGGAGGTTGTGAGAGAATGAAAACTCAGGGTGGAGTGGAGAGGCAGAATTGTTTATTATATGATGCCAATGTATATACAAATAAATATAGGGAACTGAGCAGAAGCCCAAGCCCAAAAAAAGTGAAAACCAATCAATCAATCTTGTCTTGCATGGAATGCATTGTAATTAAAAAGCCATCTCTGCTCACGTACACCAGCATATGTGGTAGACAGCAACTTCTCCGCTTCCAGAACTGAATCTCCGGGAGAACAAATCAGATCTGACCGGGAGGGAAGGATGGATGGAAAGATATGGACTACAAGGCCCTTGTCAGGCACTTAATAGTGAATTAAAGTCTGGAGAAATCTCAACCAAGCCAAAGTGTTAGCTCAAAGGTAAACAATGTGGTTTGCATACATGCAGAAGATCCATGTTAACCCCAAGTTAAGCGCCTGAAATTCCGAGTAAATTATTCCTAGTCAGAGAAGGAGATCTTGAGTCTTTAAGTGTAAGCTTTTAATTAGACAACAAGCCACCTTTTGAATCATCTGTGATTAGAAGGAATGCAAAGGGTGGGCTTTCCTTTCTCTCCTAAGTTAGGCTTACCTTATCTGGGCTGCAAAAACCCACTAGATGGCAATAAAGAGAGTTTTCTGGGTTTTTTAAGAAATAGATATGGTTGTCTCGATTCTAGACTAGCTTAGATTTTCTTTTTGTCCTGTAGGAAGGAAGAATAGAAGAGGTGACGCAAATGGAGAGACCTGTGCCCAATGGTATAATGTAGCCTACATTTCTTGGGTGATCAGAAAATATCTAGCTTGCAACATCTGCCCTGCTTGATGGGCATACCTGTTGAGGCAGGTGATCCATTGATGTGTTTCAGGATTCCTTCTGCTTTGCTCCCAACATGGTGCAATTTTGCAAGTCAACCCACACAGGAGAAAAAGTCGTTGGAAAGATTATTTTGACGAAGCTGCATCAGACATTATTTTTGTCTGGCATGCTGGCTTCACTTCTGTCAAGACTGTATTTCCCTTAAAGCAGAACATCTGGGCGTTTGTGCTTTCAAGAAGCTTTTCAGGAAAAAAATTGAAACTCAATTTTCTTTAGGACAGAAAAATCTAAATAACACAGTTCCAGGTTGAAGGAGCTTTATTTTGTTTTGTTTTCCTCCCCCAGATCTTCTGTTAAATTTTAAAAAGTATTGACATCCTTCTTTGACTTTCCTGAAAGATACGTCCAGCAATTTCTTAGGTTAACCAAATAAAGTCCACGTAGATCTTCCTCATATTTCTATCTTGAATGCTCATGTGATAGCCAGGTCTCCTTGGATGTCTTACCTTTTCTCTACAAAATGATGACTGACAGTTAGGAATGAGCAATTCCAAGTGGTCTCGGGTCAATTTGCCTTGATTGGGGTAGTGGGAAAACCATTTACAGCTGAAACCTTTTCAACTTCTCCCTCTAGGAAAAAAACCATCATCAAGTCATCAGCAAGAATGGTCAAGACATCGGTGGCCAATACTGTTATTGTTACCCTCTACCAAATTCACAGTATTTTTGTAAGATGCTGCAGAAACTGTACAAGCCAACTAATAAAATGACATGGAAATGGGTTTTCCGGGATTTTATTTGTGAACCTGAGGGGTGAGTAAGAGAGGAGTCTAGCCATGGCCATCTCAGGTGCTCTTGGGAAGAACAAACTTGAAGGGTCTTGTGCAACCTTCTCCATTTTCCAGGTTTCTCTTCTCGTATAACCTAGAATCAAAGCTGTGGCTGACCTTCCTCAGATGGATCTCTCTCCTAGGTTGTCTACGGCCTTCAGAGCCTCTTTGCACTGACGGTTCCTCCATTATACTTAATGGTCTCAGTAGGTAAGAGCAATTCTGATTAGTGTGGCCACAAGATATGGTTTGTTGGATCCAGGCAGTCTTTCAGCTTTCTTCCTGTTGCCTCTGAAGGCTGAATCATCTCCTCGGCCCCTCGGCTGACCTGTCTCTCTTTTGAGACGAACCCGGGGGTGGCTGGGTGGGTGGGGAGGAAGGGATAACATTTCCTTTGCTTTTATTGCAAGAAGACAACAAAGCGCCTTGACATTCATGGTGTTTGAGTCTTTTAATTAAGAGGGTGGCAAATTGATTTGTAGGGTGGAGTGTATTGATTTAGATTCAAACAAAACCTGAACCAGACAGCTGGTTAGAACAAGATGTTTTGTCTGCCTCTTCGGCTCTCCACAAATTTGGCATTTCCAGTTTCCTGACAGGAAAGGATTTGCCATTTTCCGGTGTTTGTGGAAGAAATTATCTTTTGGCTCACATGTAATCCTATTAGTGGCCTTCCACAAAAGGCTATCTAATTGCTGTGGTACAAAGATTAGCCTGCTGTTGCTCTTTCACACTTGATGTCTCAATCCTTTTCCAAGAAACAGGTGGCAGAAGGTTCAAAGATAGAAACCCTCAAATTTGCTTGATCTAGGCCAGGGGTAGGCAATCTTGGCTCTTTTATGACTCGTGGACTTCAACTCGCAGAATTCCTGAGCCAGCTGTGCTGGCTCAGGAATTCTGGGAGTTGAAGTCCACGAGTCATAAAAGAGCCAAGGTTGCCTACCCCTGATCTAGGCTAAGTCTGCAATGGGCTACTTCAGGATTGCTTTGCCTGACTCGATAGAATAAAGCAACGTGCTTCTAGCTCCTAGAGATAGCGTGACTTTATTTACTTCATTTATGTGAGCAAGATGTCCATGAACACAATGCTTCACCCAGGATATCTGTCTAGGTAGACTTTTGCGCTAAAAAATGTCCAGATGTGGACAGTGGTGATCAAAGAAAAATGAGAAAAACAGATGAAGTGGGGAAGGTAGTGCTGAAAGGTGATCATATTTAGTCTGCAATGTTTAGCCAACTCAGCAGGTAGGTTAATGAAAACATTTTGGTGGAAAGCATCCCCCATTCAATGAGTTTTCATATTTCTAACATTTTCGTTAATATGACTATTGTAGGAGTTTCCCAACTGCCAAGCTCTTTGAGGACGTTTCTCCATTGTAAACTCATCAACCATCGGACAATAAAGTGTTTCCGAACAGTTACATAATCGCAAGGTTTATTCAGGTTGAAATCTCAGGACAAATGGTCTGTCTTCTGCCACCTTCATCTAGATCAGTGTTTCTCAAAGTTGCCAACTTTAAGACAGGTGGATGTGTCTTAAGTCCATTTGTCTCAAAGTTCCCAACTTTGAGAAATACTGATCTGGATGAAGGTGGGTTAAAAACAACGTGATCTGACAGATGCTCCTATCTTAAATTGGGCTTATAGAGAGGCACTCAAGCCACGTCATTAGCCCTTGGAACTCAAGGTCAAGATGACCCCAACCTTCCTTCTGGGGCAGCCCTCCGCTTCCAGCCTACACCCCGAGTGACTCTAGGATCATTTCAGACGCTTGAAAATGGCTCCTCTTGATCTGTTCTGGATCGTGTAACCCTGACTAGAGCATGTAGGTCTGTATGTTAGAATGTTTGGCATTTATTGGATTAAGTGCTGTCTCCTTAAGAGATGGCTTATGGGTAATGTAGTTTTAGCTAGTCAGCTGTCACATGTTAACAGGTCAGTAGTAGAATAGGAGGAGCCACTAAAGTTCATCACAGGATATCCTGGCCATGTGCCAGTTTGGAATGCCTTTGTCTTTGTGCAAACCAACCATTTAGCACGCTTGGACATTGAATGTAATCAGGTACAAGTGAATATGGAGACACTATTGATTTTACCGACTTAATGGACAAATATTCACCAACTGAACGCATCTTCAGGAATGTAAGTTTCTGTTAAGGATTCCCGGATTAAATATTTGTTTAAATCCATTTTGTTGCATTATCTGTCTGGATCTGTATTGGAAGGCAACTCAGTTCAGGATCCGGAATATGATCTGACACTCTCCAACATCGCTAAGACAATTTGCTGCAATCAGAGATTTATGGTTTGGTTATATTGTGTTGTGTTGCAACGACTGTATTAAAAACAGCCTGTATCTTAAAAGGTTATGTAGTCCAAACTGATGGCCTCTATCTCTGCCTCAAGTTTAATAAATCTCTTCCCTGGGTCTCTATGAGCAGAAATAATCCATTGGGAAGCTTCTGCTGTAATGTATATCTCGTTTCTAAAGTATTACAAGGCCTTTCTGTGTTTCTCACGAGACAGAAAAAAAAACCCCCATTGGAAACAAATGCTCGCTATAGTAAAACAGTGGAAATAATCAATATTAATAATAATTTTCATTAAAATGTAGCATGTGAGTTAATAATTAATGCTGCATAATTTATTTGCTTAAATTGCGATCAAATTCCATTTTCATGCCCTCTCTGGCTTGTTTTTATAGCTTTTAATTAATGTTATGGATAGGCCCACATTTTTAGTGTGTCTTTGTTGGGGGCAGACACGAAAGTGGGAATGAAAACATATTTCCAG